AGGATTTTGGGTTATTTGCATCACAAAAGAGTCATCTGCCAAAAGATCTGTATCCCAGTCATCAAAGCTATCATTAACTACTCCAGCAAGCTTAGCAGAGGCCACCAATTGTGTCTTCAAAGAAGGAGGATTTTTTTTGGTCAGCGTGTCAGTATCAGCTTTTGGTATAGTCTGGTCCATGCTTCCTACTGCAAACAGAGTATCTTTTTGATATGCCTCTGAATTACCATGCTGTGTCTCTTCAACTATCTCAGGAAGATTCTCCTCCTCCAATGTACTTCTAATTTTATGAAAACTATTATTTAAAGAAATATCTGACAGTCCTTGGCTCAACTGTCCACTGCACTTCTGGGTAGAAGAGTCAAAAAGAGCATGAAGGGCTACTTCAGCCTCAAGGTCTACAGACTTTTGACTGCTGGACTGACAGGGCTCTGCCACAGGGATGCCAGTGCTCTGTCCAACTGGTTTCAGGGATGCAGTAGGATCTGCTTCAGATCCTTCACCAAGGAGTGATTTCTGGTTCTTCGTATTTATTCCATCTTTAGAATTACTTGAAAGCTCTGAGGTGCTCTGGATGAAGTTGTGACCAAGCTTCTCCTGTTCCTGAACAGCATCTAACTCTACTAGATTTTTATCAAACTCCTTAGCCAACTTCATGAGTTCCTCTTCAGGATTTTTTATTTTAAGATCTCTAGATTAAGAAGAAAATACAGAAAATAAAGTCAGAGCTACTGAGAAAGTTTGGCCAAGTTCAGTTACATGACCCTATGAGCTGCTCATTCTATAGTTTAACAACTACAAAGGTATGACTAAATCCCACTGCTTCCAATATGCAGTCAATATACACCCACTGCAAGAAGACACAACAAGCCCACAGTTAAAAGCATTCTATATGCTAATGTACAATTATATGGTTCACTATACACAGAAGACCACATAGCCTTCTTCATGAAAGTCCAGCTATGATTAGTGAGAAAAAACTGTAACTTACCTTGTACAACTTAACTTTGTCCTAGCTTTTACTACTATAGGTGTACAGGGAATAGCATCCTCACCAATCCATGTTCCTAAAAGGGAGTCTTCATTACAGCTTGCTTTTTCATCCTGAATAATTAGATTTATTCAGGAAATTAGAAATTTGATTATTAATTTATTTAGAAATTTGATTTCAGATAAAGACTGGATTAGACACACATCTTACATGAGTTAAAAGTTGCTAAACTAAATAAACTGGATAAAACCTGTTGAAAACCACAGATAAGAGCAAAAACAAGTTAAGTGAGATTACTGCAACATTGTCCACTGATACTTGCATCACTTTAATTATATCAATTTAAAGCAGAACTTCAATTAAAATAACTGAATTATACTTTTGGCATGCAAGTCTAGTAGTCTAATTCAGGTTTACACACATTCATGTTACAAGCAGCCATCTAGTTTACTTCAGTATACTACTAAGGAGCTGGCTGAGGCAAGCAGCACAAACAAATTAGAGACCTTAAAATAAATTACATTCTGTATGCTTACAGAAAAAAAATCTGACTTCTTCCACTACAACTAATTTACAAAAAGAGCCTTTAAACAGAATTAAGTGACATTTAGAAACTAAATGAAATTGTTTCAGAGCTTCAAAGTTCAGGCTTGAATTTGAATTCTGAAATGAAGGAGATACAATACTGTGATGAATTGTTTAGAGGGGCAGAGCAATGGGATGTAGGAAATTGCTGTGTGTAAGCCAGCAAAAGTAATTAGAACTTTACTAACTACTAGGGTTGTTTTAAATAGGTTCTCTTATTCTTAGTAAATTTAAAGTTTTTAAAAATTATTTTTGTTTAAAAAATAATATAAACAGCAGATTACATTTATGGCAGAACTGTAATTATTTAAAAAGCATGCAGTAGCACTCCTTATCAATGATTTTCCAATTCTTTTAGTAAAATTTCTCACAAATACACTAAACAGTAAATATATTTTAAACAGCCCTGTCAAAAAAGTAGGCATGTTTTGCAAGCTAAATACTACAGATCTATTTTAGGAATTACATGTTTTCTTCTTGTACTTAAAATGCAACACCACTTTGGTTTTGACTTTCGGGACTGTGGACATCAGGTTCATGGCAAGAGGAAAAGGGCAAGAGATACTGGGGTAAAGAGGAGAATGATTTATAGTATTGAAGCAAGGCTACTATGTTTATATTACTACAAAATATTTCTCATCTTGGTCATCAAAAATCAGCATTGTAAATTTGTAGTCAATCAAGACTCTTCAAAATGCTTAAAAACAACTGCCAAGTAAATCTAGTATTTGAAAAAACTCTTACCTTTTAACAGATGAGTAATTAAGGGTAAATAAACAGTATTCTTAAGACCAAGGGCAGTAACTTGTATTCTGAAAGTAAAGCTTTCTAAAATAGAGCTGCTGCAAGTCTCTTCATGTGCCCTTTTCTACAGCATCTGTGACTCACACAACAACCAGTAAATGCTATGCTTACTATTTTAATTCAATCCTGTTCTATAAACTAGTTTTCTACAAGCCCAACTCTAATCACGACACTACTGTAACTAAAACAAGGCTAAGGCTGAAATACTACTCTCTTTTGATCAGTGCACATGCACAGCATTGTTTTAGAAAGTTACAATTACCTGAGGAGCAATACGATTAACAATTTCCGAAATTTCTACTGCGCATCTACTGGTAGTCTGCTTGCTTTTTCCATTGCCTATGAAAACAAACAAACCTCTTAAAATTTTGAATTATCTATCCAGTTTATGAAGTGCAGTACATCTCAAATAATTCAAATAAACCTGTAGACATGGGAGCTTGATTCAGTGCTGTATTGAAGAATTTATGGGTTTTTAATGCAAGTAAAATCAAACAACCATTATAAAAGAAAATAACCTTTTTCCAAGAAATCATTTATAACTTTTGCTACACCCCCACTGCATGCCTCTAACAGATGTCCTGAAGTCTGGATTTTAGTATTACCTAATCTGTGTGCAACGGGTGAATGAGAATCCCAAAAGATTTCTTGCTGTGTCTCAGTGTCATTAATAGGAGAGCTGAAAGTAGGTATTCGGGATTTTCTACTCAATGATCTCTTTGGTGTTTTATGTAAACATGGTTCTGTGAAAAAAGAAAGAGGATCTTTATTAAAAAACAACAAATAAGAGGCAAAAATCACTTAAAACACAGAACAGGTCAAGGCAAAAGAAGATGCATTAGGAACATCAAGAATAAAAATCAAGTTCACACTCACCAGGATTCCTTTACTCACAACAGGAATACTGTACAAAACTAGACATTAAATACAGGACTCTTAGCTTTGCCAATCATATCTCCACAGAGATAAGAGAAAATTACATGATACTGACACCTTTCCACCCAGGATCTGATTGCAAGGATGTCAGTTCTTTCACTGACTTAATCTTATATTAAGTGTAAAATGATGTATACCTCTATGAGAGAATATTTTGTATTCTTGCTTGCTTTGTGTCTTTCACCCAGACTCTGAGCTAAACTACTATTTTAATGGGCATCCAAACTATTCTGGGTCATAACCTACATTTGTCTATATTTCCTCCCCTGGGCCCTTCCAGCTAGGACTATTAAAAACAGGAATATAGGTATACAAAACCTGCTTGCAGCTGCCTTTGATCAGTAAGTGAACTAAACACCCTAAGTGAAACTCAGCTAGTCACCCCTGCCCTTTAGAAATGATGCTGTAGATGTGAAAGCCTACAGAAATAATTTAGAATATGCTATTACTATGGGAGGAACATCTTAGAGGATGTTTTGCCCTGAAGTGCCTAGCACGGCCACAAAGCACAAAGATTTTATCTTCTCCTCGGTTAGTTCTCAGTATTTGCTGTGGGAATCACAGAATATGTCAGGTTGGAAGGCACCACAGTGGGTCACCTTGTCCAACCTCCCCCTCAAACAGGGTCATCCCAGAGCACATACCACAGGATTGTGACCAGATAGTTCTGGAATATCTCCAGTGAGGGAAACTCCACACTCTCTCTGGGCAACCCAGTGCACGGTCACCGTACAGTGGAACTTCTTGTGCATCAGTTTCTGCCTGTTTCTTATGCTACTGCTCAGCACCACAGAGCAGAGCCTGGTCCATCCTCTTTGCACCCTGCCTTTAGATATTTACACAGATTGATGACGTGCCCTGTTTTCTCTTTGCAAGACTAAACAGGTCCAACTCCCTCAGCTTTTCCTCGTGAAAAACATTCTCCAAACCACTAACCAACTTTGTAGCTCTCTGATGGACCTGTTCCAGGAACTCCATGTCTCTTGTCCTGAGAAGGACTGACAACTGGTCACAGTATTCCAAATGTGGCCTCATCAGGGCTGAACAGAGGAGCAGGCACACCTGCCTTGCCCTGCTGGCAATGCTCTTCTTAACGCACACCAGGTACCATTGGCTTGCCTGGCACCCGGGGCACACTGGCTCAGCCAGCCCTTGGCAGTAACAGCCCCTTCCCAGGGCACGCGAGCCGGGCGAGCGGAGATTTACTCCGCACCAACCCCTCCTCACGGCTCAGCCGCGCCTCCCCCGCGGTTCGAGAGTCGGCGGGCAGGGCCGGGGCCCCCAGGGGCCGCTCCCGCCGTACCTGCAGCGCGGGGCGAGCACGCCGCCGCCTCCCCGGCGGGCAGGCCTCGGCCCGCGCCGCGTTCCACCGGCCCCTCCTCCGCGGGGGGCTCCGCCCGCCGCCGCGTCAGCTGCTCCTCGCCGCCGCTGCGCCTCCTCAGGGCGGCGGGCCCGAGGGACAGCCCCCTCCGCCGGCTACTGGGCATGGCGGCCGCTACGGCGGCACCGCACCGGTCCCGCTACCGACCGCACCGCCATTTTGCCGGGCTCGGGAAACCGCCGCCAATTGGCCGCCGCCGTGCCACCTCAAGCAGCCATTGGCCCCGCGCTGTGGGGGCGGGCGGGCGGACGGTCGGGCTTTCGGAGGCGGTGGAGAACTGAGGCCCCGCCCCGCCCTGCCGGGCGTGAGGCGCTCCCGGCTCCTCCTGCCCCGCGCTGCCTCCGCCGTGTTGCGGAGAGACCCTGCTGCCCCTACAGCTGGGGGGAGGAAAAGCTCAGCCATGGGCAGAGGGGCAGGAGGTGCCCTCCTGCGGACTCTTGCTGTCGGCTTGGCCTGAGGTGCCTCGAATCTACCGTTAGGAAATTCTGGCCTGATATCTCGGTGGGTGGGAATGCTACTGTGCCAGAGGGCAGGGAGGCTCTGCAGAAGGATCTGAGACAGACTGGATTGATGGGCCAAGACCAATAGTTTGAGGTTCGACAAGGCCAAGTGGGGGGTTCTACACTGTGGCCAGAACAGCCCCGTTCAGTGATACAAGATGAGGGATGAGTGGCTGGAAACGGGCTCCAGTAAAAGCACCTGAGGGTGGTGGTCACTGGCTGCTGGACATGAGCCAGCATATGCCCAGGTGGCCAAGGAGGCCTGAGGCATCCTGGCCTGTATCAGGAACAGTGTGGCCAGCAGGAGCACAGGGGAAGGAGACCAGGGGAAGTGATTCTTCCCCCACACTTGGCACTGATGAAGTGGCACCCCAACTGCTGTGTCCAGTTCTGGACTCCCCAATTCAGGAAGGACATGGAGGTGCTGCAGCGAGCCCAGAGTAGGATAGTAAAACTGAGTCAAGGAAATCATTCTTACAAGGAGCAGCTGATGGAGCTGGGGGTGTTTAGCCTGGAGAAGAGGATGCTCAGGGGTGACGTACGTACTCTCTACAGCTCCCTGAAAGGACATTGGAGCCCAGTGGTGGTCGGTCTCTTCTTCTAGCCAACCAGCAGCAAGATGAGAGGAAATTTAATGAATCTGCGCCAGGGGAGGTTTGGGTTGGACATCAGGGGGAATTTTGTCACAGGAACAGTGGTTCTGCATTAGAATGGGCTGCCCAGGGAGTCACAGTCCCTGTTAGATGTTTAAGGAAAGTCTGGTTGTGGCACTTAGTGCTGTGGTCTAGTTGACATGTTGGTCATAAGTTGGACTCGATCTCAGAGGAGTTTTCCGATCTAATTGAGTCTGTGATTCTGAGAAACCCATCAGGCATAAATCATTTAATCCCAGTGAGGCAGGTGATGCTGGTGAAGAGAGGCTTACAGAACCTAAACTGGTAGATAAGAAATTAGCTTGGGGTTCCTGAGGGACTGTGATACTACATCATTACTTTAAGCAATATAAATGCGAACATATGTATATGTTATGTAACAACGTGAATATTTCCTCTCTGAGCCTCTAAAAATAAATATAAAAACATATCGATTAAGCATGTAGGGTCAAGGAGTGAATTACTCCGTCCTTTTTTTCCCCACTGGTTTTCATTTAATTGATTGGGAGTAATTTGGGATAATTCTTAGTTTGTGACATGTAAGCAGTGGGTTTTAGGGTGGATCAGGAGTAAGAAGTTTTGAAGTCACTAAAGATTGATTCCCTGAGCCATGAAACCTTTTCTTTTCACCTGAGGCCTCAGGCAAACAGTATTTTTTTTTCACTTCTCCATTCTCATGTGTAATTAAAGCCAATAGAGCACTTTTTAACAAGGAAAAAAAATAGGTACTATGTATTAAATAGAGAAACAGTATCATGTATGTAGCTAATTTATAGCAAGCACAGAAAGTTGTGACATTTGAGTAGTTAACTTGTTTATGCCAGACCTGTAAAGTACTGCAAGCAGATTGTAAAATACAAAGAGGACTGAAAAAGCGAGTCAAGATTTTGGCTTCAAAATCTATCATAGATATCTGAACATTGCTACTGTCTTGTAATCATACCAATGTGGGTAGGTCTGTACATCAGCATGAAGTGTGGCAAAGCTGTGCAGGATATTTTCTTTGCCAGTTTGCAGTATAGTAATTAAAAAATGGCTTCCCTGGACTCCATGCAATAGGCACTGTGTAAGGTACCTGCTGCTTATTTATGGTTGGAACAGATACTGAGAAGAAATTTTGTACAGTAGCAGCAGATACGTCTTAAGGGAATGCAAAACACTGAAACTGACACATTTTCTAGAAAGTACTACTAGATCTTGATGTCTCCTACCACTTTCTGGCAGCCTCTTAGCAGCTGGGTACTGTACAGTAGTCTACCTTGTATTTCTTTCTGTTAACAAGCATAATCTGAAATACTGTCATCAGTAATTAAAATTAAGTGACATTTGTCATGTTCACTGAGTGTTACAAATTTTGCAGTGCCTTCTTTGATTTCTTCCTTTCTCTGAGCTCATTGTTCACTAACCCCATTCATAAAATGTGAATATTTGCCACAGGTCTTTCACACATTTGTGAGGTTTTACTCATGCAGTAAAAGCATTTTGGAGAAAAAAATAGAAGCATATTTAACATGTGTTTTGTTCTGCATAGGAGATCTTTTTGCATCAATTTAAGCCTGTGTAAAGTTGTGTTACCAAAAGATAGCAAAACCCAAAATAATCTGTATGTATAGATAAGATAAACAGATTTATAATGGGAAAGAAATCCCACTTTCCTAATGAATAAAAGTGTGTGTATGTTACTGCAGTTTAAGAACTCAACTCTGAGCTGACACTGTTTATTAAGTTTAGGAATGTAGTGTTAGAAGCCTGTGATGTTGGAGGGTTTCTCTGTGGAGCTGTAGCCTCAAGGAGGGAGTTTGCATTCCCTTGGCGTGGCATGAGCAGCTGGATCAATGGCTAATTGTGGCAAGGCTGTGTTCCAGGGACTTGCAGCAAACTCCTAGTGCTGCAGTTGGGAGTCCTAGTTTCAAATCAAAACGGATAAATAATGCAGGAGATTGAATGAATAATAAAGTTAGTTCAGTTTTTAATAGTAGTATAAACTGCCTGAGAACTTTTCACTGTGTTTTATGAGACAAAATCTAAAATTAAATTAAATGAATGTGGCCGATCTGAGAAGTTTCCTAAGAATTTCCCACTGGTGTAATGAATTCATTGAACATTGAAAAAAGGACTGAAAAAGGCTCATTTTTAAAATCCTTTGAACACAGAACTTTTAAGTGAGGATTTTTATCTTGGACAGAGTATGTCTCATTAGTGAGTTTTTCAAAATATCTAATGTATTGCGTAAATATAACAAAGAAAGGGAAGTGACTATGTTAATCTTTCATTCTTGTTAGGGCTGGGGAAAAGGGAAAATCAATAATAATGATTTCAATGAAAATATCAAGAATTATGAGAGCATGGAAGTTATTATAAACAATGAAATTAATTTGAAAAATACTGCTTTTTTTCTAGTATGTTTTTAAATGCTCTGTGATGTTTTCAAAGTGAGCAGTCTTTCATTTTGAAATTAATTTCTTTTCAACCACTGGAAATGAAAGAAACAAAACACACACGTGCTAATAATTTATCTCCAATGAAAACACATGTCTATGCATTTTGATCACCTGAGACCAGGTGAAGAAGCAAATTCTCCAAGCCATTTTTTCCGTGGTTAATCTGTTTTTAAAATGGTGTGGGTACAAACTCTAAAACTCAGGACAATTATAAGGTGCTTTAAAACATGTTTTCTCCTAAGGAAGGAGCAGTTAAGTAATGTCTATGTACCTATATGTCTCATCGTGTGTTTCTGCAGAGGGGGGCTCAGCAAAGCTCAGGGATTGCAGCACTGAGGGATGTAACTCAGGGAACCTGATCTCTTCTAGTCAGCTCTACCCCTTCAGAGCCAGCTTGGGTGTTTCTGTGCTGCACTGCCTCACCTGCTGTGTCTGGATTCACAGGAGATAATAGTACTTACTGCAGCATGGATTGTCCTGGGGAAAACTGAGGAGTCGTGGTACAGCAGTGAGGGGAATTATAGGAACAGAGGAGAGAATTTAGATGCCTAATGTAAGATGCATTTATAAATACATCTTTGGCCCTGTGACCCCAAACAAAAATGAACCAAGATATAACATTTAACTATTGAAGTACAATGTTTTCCACCTTTTCTCAACCCAGAAATCCTGTTTGTTCACATATTTTCTTAAGAAGCCTTGGAATGTTTACTAAAATTGAGCACTGTGTGATTACATGAGTTAACAAGAAGAGATTTGTGTTTTGTTGCTGGTTTTGGGACCTTAGGAAAAACTGAGAGAATATCTGAAATGTTAACTTAATGGATAATATTTTTTTCCATCCATAGAGGAGGGCAGGCATCATGTGTGTATTTTTGCTTTTATTAAAAGCATTTTGATAGTACAGTTATAAAGCTTGTCCTTGGCTTGCCTTGAAATATCATACTGACTTCACTTATTATAGAATGTTACTTTAATTTTCCAAGGTGAAGTGCTTGCAGAGCAGAAACTGGTGAGGAAAAAAATATGGCCAAAACAGTTACATATACCTTTAATTTTAAAGTGGTGTCCAGAAAGGTTTGCAGCAATGTTTGCTGATGCATAAATTGACCTAGACAGTAAATGATACATGACCTTAAAAATACCTGAAGTAGCCTTGCTTGGGAATTTTTTAGTAGAGAGCTATTATATGTCAGAGTAATTTACACAAGCCTAGTTTATGGTTTTGCATTCTCTTTTCCTCTCTCTCTCTCTGCCATGACATCCAAAAACCATAGAAGCATTAAAAATATTTTACATATATTTCTTTCTTTTTTCCCCCTCTTCTTATCATAGAGCTTCATCTTAATTTATTTATCACACTCAGAACATCTCATCAAATGTGGGACTAAAATGTGCCTCACAAAGACCTGATCCAGCAGAGCACTTAAGTACCTGCATAACTTCATTGCAATGACATTTTCCATTGCTCATTAACTGGAATTTAAAGAAAGTTTTCCATTGCTTGGTGTCTGGGCATTTAGAGAAAATTGTCAGCCAAAATGGCTGAGCTATTTAGAAGAATTAGGTCAGGCAATGAACAGACTACAAGTTGCAGAGTTCTGCAGGGAGCACTGGAGGTTCAGACCCCTGGCAGAAAACTGGAGATAGCCATTGGGAGGGCCTTCCAGGTATTTATTGTAATGTAGACTTAATTCCACAGCTCTTGTCCAGGGATCAGAGTGAACTGCATTGAGGAGAAGAGTCGCACTTGTGCAAGACAGAGGAGACTTATGCCTTAAACCTTAGCTGGGCCAGTCAGTTTCAGTGCACTGCTGCCTAGTCACAGCTCAACAGCTTTGTCTGGAACAGGTATGATCACTTGGGCACAGCAGTGTTGTGCTGGCTTGCACTGAGGAATGATCAGG